TTGACGCTGCAGGTCAATCGTATGAATTTGTGCCATGTCCGTTGATCTGGAAGTTGGACTGCTCAGTGGGAGGAGCGTGACCTTGAAGGCGGATCTGGAGGAGACGGTGGAAACTCTGACAAGGTGCAAGAGAAGCAGTGGCAGTCGTCCAGAAAGGAGAACGACGATCACGACATACCCCGCGTTCGTCGTGAGACGTCGCCGCAACAAGCGTCCTTGCGTTTGAAGGCGGAGCAGACTGAGAGCAACGGAAGCGACGACGAATTATATAAGCGGAAACTCTGAAGCGCCGGGCACAGACTGCTCTGGCAGTTGGCAAACAGGGCCGACTGCCGGACTCCTCCGGACAAAGTCCTGCAACCCCACATTTTTTTCTCGAAGCCCCAATCCTCAGCCCCCGAGCCCAGCCCCAAACGTTAAATGCATTTCCACTCCCGGAGAGATCCGCCAAAGGCACGCCCCACGATCCTGCAAAACCCGAAAGCCACATGGTGCAGGAGTTGCTCCAAAACCCTATGGCCGGCCTGCACCGTATGCCTGAAACCCCAACCCGAGAGAGGAGACTAAGGCGAATTACTAAAATTGTAAATACAACCAGATGGGTAAAATACAATTGAAATTTCCAGAAATTGGTTTTGATGGGTGAAAACACAACCAGATGACTAGGGCCTTTGGTCCAAGGGTCTATGGGTATTGTTGAGTAGCCGGGGAGTGGGATTGTTGTAAGTGGCATGTAAACTGACTCCTTCACAACTTCGCCGCAACCTCTGATTGCCTACATGCCTTTCGGGCCTACATGACCGAAAGCATACATACCGAAATAATCATGATAAGTATTGCCTACATGCCGTTCGTAGCTATCGAACCCTAATTTACAAGGATTCCCAAGGATCTCAATACCAGCGACTTCAGCTTTGCCACTCTGACCCAAAACCCGAAATTCTGAACCTTAACCGTGGCAGCCCTGCTCTTCGCCGCAGGTTGGGGATTCGAGTCGCTGGCGGCCAGCGGCAAGCCGTAAAGGCGTACGCAAAGGGTACTACAAGGGCATTCTGGATATTTTCAGGGGTATTATCAGGGGATTAAAAGGTTACTTTAAGGGTAAGAAAAGGTTCCTATAAGGGCCGTATAAGGGTACTAGAAGGGCAGAAAGGCATTCTAAGGGTACTCAAAGGGGACAATAACTGTACTTTAAAAAGGGTATTGAAAGGTCACCGGAACCCGCGCTGGACATCGGATTCTGGTTGTTTCGGGCCAAACCAGTGCGCAAACGTTCAAGAACTGAAAACAATGCCCTCAAGGGTACTCTTGAAGGATTCCTTTCAGCGCACCTTCACGGATTCCTCTAAAGGAATGTTACCTTCAACATGTTGTTTTGAGGCCCTGTTTCGGGGCTCTTATGTCTTGGCAGTTTCGTCCTGCAAAAATGGGTATAGGTCTCTAACTATTTATCACGTTCTCTGTGTTTGTTTCGGAGTGGTGTATTCTTTCTGGGATCCACAGTAGCTCAACAATTTATGGGGCTACCCAAGTGTAATGCACAACTGCCGGAGGTTGTGAACCGCAGCGGCTTCGAGTCGTTCCAGTCCAGCAGAAGGAGCCGGCGCGGAGCTTGGCTTCCTATGTGCCGACTGCCCTTTTTTTACCGCGATACAAGGAGCACGTAAGCCCTGAACCTCAAGCTCACCCGGAAACCCTAAGCCCCAAACGTTGACGATAATGGCTACATCATCGTGACCTATGGGGAAAGCTGGCTTCCAGCCAACAGAAGCATCACAGCACGAGGTCTGGAAAGCATGCGTCAGGAGTTGGGTGAGCTGGTGTTGTGGGACATGTGGACACTCTATCCCATTGCAGACAGTACGAAAAGATAGCTGAAAAACATGGGAGGAGTCGAGAATTTTGTCGAGTGTGACGATGAATGGACAACAGTGTACGAGGGTGGCAAGTTCGAGGGTACATCTTTGGATGGAAGTTCTCTGCAACTGCAGATTCCTGATGTTACTTTTGCCGTGGGAAAAAGGCATTTGAACAAAACAAGGCCCTAAACCTTTGACGTGTGTTGCCGACGTCTGTCGAGGCTCAACCTGGTCAGTGAAGCAAAGCTTCTGCTGAGCTTGGACCATCCAGGCCAGGTCAGGACAAACAAAATATCCTTCAATTGAGGAATACTCCTTAACTCATACTGCGGGTAAATCATAGTGGAGGTTCCTCCGTAACCAGAAGCTCAAAGCCTCTGAGACGACAATTTGGTTTCAGACATGGCCTTGCAAATTACAGTACTGGAGCGCAACATGTCGTATCCAGCCTGTCTGTGGGTTTTAGGATTTAGGGGCCCAGTCCGTTCTGTGTTTCATTCATCGCCACCCTGGAGGCGTTGTCAAATGCAGCGAATGGTTTCAAACCACGACGAGCCTTTACGTGGCAGCTGCCTGAGGCTGTCGGAGATTCTGCGACTGCCCTGGAGATCTCTAGAGCACCTGCTTGCAGAGGGGGGTTCAGCTGACCATGGGAGGCTTCTCGTGGCCTGAAGCGCAGCGGAGTTCGGAGTGCAGGATTCTGAAACAAGTCGTAAGTGGTCCTCTGCAAATCCCCTTAGACAGGATGGAGGACTCTTCATCACAGCCCTTATATTGAGCCGGCAGCACGGTTACAGAACTGCCCCCAACCCGGGGCAACGAGCCTTAGGTAATGGATCTCGTGGAAGGGGGTGACCTGCTCAAGAACATCATCAACAATGGCCGAGGGCCCCAGATCACTTGAGATGCTCTTGGGCTTCAGGGTTCGGTTCTAGTTAATCTTGAACACAAAAAGCTTATTTGACATGTGAGCTCCCAATACTGGGGTCACTGCTTCAGGGCATCCGCGTGCAAGCACGAAGAGGCTGTTTGTTTGGAACTTGCAACGGCTTTTGGCAGTAGTAGCTAAACGGCTAAACAGCTACATAAGTTTTCTGAGTCATAGTAATGTGTTATTTTCATGATTATTCTGGAAAGCCCAAGCCGAAAATGCCGTATTGTGTCGTTACAAGAGTTTGCGATGTCAGCAGGTTCAACGTATACTTCTACGATAGTAGAGTCGTAGAGAGATTCCTTCACCTTATTCAGCCCTCGCGGTTCTTACAGCCGCCACATTGACAATGTTTGGCTTTGAGGGTCCAGCACTGCAAATACCAGGCTTGCCAGCGGGCCATGAGGTGGAAAGCGCAGAACCGTCGGAGTAGAATTGTGGAATTCCAAGGGCGTGGAGAGGCCAGGCACTGGATGCAGAAGATTAGGTTGACACTGTCTCAATCGCAGGGCATGTAACCCGAAGCCCACGCCTCTAAAATCCGCGAAGCGCCCAAGCCAACAAAGAGTCGCCAGATCGATCAAGGTGCCTTCTTAAAGCGCTGGGCACTGTCTAGTGATTGTTGTATTATTGGCCAGGGTTCCTGATCATGTATACGTCTAGTCACTAGTCTATGTAGTATACTGTGCTAAACTCCAAACCCTATCTTAATCGTAGTTTAGGGATTAAGACCCTAACGCAAAAGGCTACCCCGCAGCCTCGCGACTCTCAAGGCGAGTTCTGCGAGGATCATGCTCGACGGCTGTTTCGTGATATCTCCGAGGCCGGCGTGGCCACTGCAGTCCCAGCTTCAAGCTTGCGCTAGTCATGATAAGGAGCCCTCGGCCCCATACCTTGAGCCCGACGTGACGAAAGGATCGTAGCCGTACTATATTGGGGACCTAGAAAGGGACCTTAATTTAGAGAACTACTCATATGACGGCAGGATCGTAGCAAGAATGATGGATGGCAGTCAGCCTTGTAGGCTCGGATCGAGGAAAAAGAACTTGACATACACACGCGAATGTCATTGTCCTATAGTGATCTGAGCCAGCAGTAGCATTTGCATCCCCCTATAGTCCCTGCACGTTTACAGTAATTATGATGCAACCCCCTCCAAACCCCTTTGGCGTCATGCAGTCCGTGGCGCTGCATATGCTGTGCATTAGTGCAAACGCATGCCCAATCTGCACAGTCCCACGACATCAGATTTTGCAGGCCGTTGCATATCTCCACAGCCGTGATGTTGTACACAGGCCGGGTTAACCAGTGCACACTGGTTCAGTTCACGTGCTGGCCTTGCCGTGAGTAGATCTCCCAGTGCTTGCTCACATGTAAATGCTGCTGAAGCACCTGCCTCGACTCGATGCAAATGAAACCTCCATGCAGGGATTTGAAGCCCGACAACGTCCTCCTCACGAACGAAGACAGGTCTTCCCGTCCCAGAAAGGGGGAGAGCGGGTGAGAAGAGGAGATGCAGGGGGGGGGGGGGCAGCGAAGGGCTGTTTTGGCCAAATCTGTTCCCTGTTCAAGACTCAAGAAGATGATCAAGAAGGTCCTGACTGATGCAATGGCACATGCTGGAGTGCCAGTGTGACGATACTTGGAGAGGGCTGCATGTGTTCCTCGCTCTCAGGTTGCTCTGTGGATTCTTGTGCATGTGTTCAGAACTCGACATAGGTGAGATAAGACAGATATTCAATGCCTCTTGGGATGCCGGCTGTCCTTGCATCGGTTTCTGTCCCTTTATGCACCGCACGCCGGCCCGCCGCTTGGTTGCCCGTTGTCCAGGAGCAGGACATGACAGCAGCACGGGGGTAACTTTCCTGCTGGGGGACGGCAGATCATGGCAGGGGAGGCCCGTTCAGTCAAGGAAACACGAAACTCCCAATCCCTAAACCCTATTAACTTTCAGCTCCATAGAACTCCTAAACTCCAAAACTCTGAACCCCAAGCCCGCAGCTCCAAAAATCCCTAAATCATACAAACCCCAAACCCTTCGGTTCCCCTTTGGATCAGGTGCCGGTGCGAACCGAAGCTGGCAGACCTTGGCCTGGCACAGCTCAACGCGCCCCTGGGCTTCCCCGCTCTTTTTTTGTTTGGGGGGGGGGGGGNNTTGATAGGGTTTAGTGTTTAGGGTTCTTTGAGGATTCTGGGTGTGTTTGTTGTTTTCAGTTTTTTTGGCTGGTCTGGGGTTTCTGGGTTTGGGTTTCAGGGTTGCGTTTTTGTTTGTTTCAGGTCTTAGGGGATTCAGGGTTCCAGAGTTTGTGGGGTTTAGGTTTCAGTTTATGGGGATTTGCTATGTAGGTCTAATGCTTTCTAGCGAGGTTGCTCTGGGGCCAGGGCTTGTGTACAAGTCCAAATTAAATTGGGAATAATTTCCCTTACTCTTATTGAACAACACCTTGCATGGCATAGATACTGGTATAACCCCCCGCCTCTATTTTAAATAGTTAGGCCCCCTTGTTTCATGTGTTGTAAAGTGTCAATATACTGTGGATATGTCCAACAGTTTGTTGCCTGTGTGAACTTCCCTGGCAACCCAAGCACAGTAACCACGGCATTTTCTGTCAGTTCATTGCACCATCTTGTTTCTGTCTTACCCACTATTCGCACCTTGTTCACGAAAGATGTGAAGTCACAGCACGGAACATCATACCGGAGTTCATGCAGATGTGCCTCTCCTAAGCCGTAAAGATCCGTAAAGTAGGAATAGGCACGAGCAGTGAGAGGCGGAACGGCAGTAACACCAATGACAACACTAAGCGGTCAAGAGTAATCGGCGCAATACAGCTGAAAAGTGCACAAGGCGCTTCGACGTCAACAATTGGAGTAAGGAGTGCCGATGACCGTAGCACCAGTCCTAAACCTCAAACCTGCCAAGGAGATCCACCGATTCGCGGACTTTCTGTGGGACGCCGCACTACTTTGCTCCTGAGGTGATCAGGCCCGGATACTGGGAGAGGCTTCGGGATCTTCGTTCGCCGATTAGGGTTTAGAGTTTAGATTCTTCTGGGGCCTCTCAGGCAAGAAGACATGAGAAAGCACCGGTACCTCAAACCTTAAATATCCTGCTTACTTAACCACTGCTTCAGCCTTGAGGTAGGCCGATGCCATGCAAAAGGAGGGCTCTCTAAATAAGAGTGCCCTTCACGTCGGGGTGCTGATTGGCAAGAGTGACACGCGCTTCTTGGAGATCCACACAGGGACGCCTCATTTAGATAAGTACTCACATGCAAGCTGCACGCGAGGCAATGGCAAAGTTCGGCGTCCGCTGTTGACGACACTCCCGGATATGGGAAGAAGGCGCAAGAACATGCCCAACTGCTGATCGCAGGAGAAGCTCTGTGTTGTTTGGACTGCATGTTCTTTGTGGCTTTAGGGCGTACTGCTTCAGGGTTTCAAGGCCGGAAGACAGACCTTCTCCTCTTCAATCGTAGTTGAGGTCCGAGCGTGTGTTCGATATGGCGCTGTTATAAACTTCTAGAATCTAGAAGCACCGAACCGGTCGACCAACAACCCTAGCACTAAACAGGAACACCGAAAGACTACAGAGCGATAGACCCTAAACCACTAGACCCGAAAGCACGCAAGCCGAAATCCTGAAGCCTAGACCCCAAGCTATAGTCGAAGTAAAACCGCATCAAGCCGTGAATCAAGCCCTCGGAACAACCCAGAAAAGCCGTTGGCAGGTGGATATTTGGAGTCTCGGGGTCTGGCTCCCAATGACTTTGCGAGACGGGGCTCGGAGCTTGCTCTTGAGCTTGGGAGCTTTGCTGCAGTGCTATGTTAGGGCACCCCAAAGACCTAGAGCCCTGCACCCGCAACCCTGAAGCAAATATAGACCCCCGAAAGCCCGCAAATGAGGTGCTACATCCTAGGCTGAAAAACCTCAGAAAGAAATGCTAAATCCCAAGCCCCCACAGCCCTAAAGGAGGTGCTAAACCGTAGCTACACCCACAAAACCCGAAGCCTAAAGTCTAAAGGCCCCCTAAACCCTAAACCCTAAACCCTAAACCCTAAACCCTAAACCCTAAACCCTAAACCCTAAACCCGAAAGGTGCTCCTTTATGTCGTCTTGAGCGGCTCTCCTCCCTTTGAAGACGAGGGCCTCTACGAGCAGATCCTGCAGGCCAATCCGGGAACATGTGGGAGTTTCCGAAAAGAAGGGGTACCTTATTTTGGGGTCCTTATCATAATGATGTACTATATTAGGGTCCCCTATTTTCAGAATCCCCCATGTACTAGAAAAGATACGCGAAGTCTAAGACAGTATGAGGGAACGTGATTGAATCTAGTCGTCGATCATAGTACAGTACAGTATACTTTACCGTGCCCCAAAACCCGCGAGCCCCAATTGCGTCAGCCCTCCCTACAAATTATCAAATATAGGTGCCTCAAGAATTAGAATGCTGTTTTGGGGCATATTATATGCTCTAGACTCTAGCTATATCAGAGGCCCGAACAACTAGAACAGGGGTTTGCGGTCTATAATATACTAGAAAGTCATATGAGTAAACCAAAACAACTGTACTGTAGGGGCCAATCATCGATGACTAATAGTATCCCCTTGGTCCATATAACATTACTTCTACAAATCTGCCCCTAAGGCAATGTTCTAATTGTGAAGGCCCCCATCGTACTTGAAAGGCAGACGCGCCGTGCCAGAAGCTTCAGGGCATTGGACTTATGGGTTTTACTTCAGGCTTTAGCGGGTTAAGGGTTTAAGGGGCTTAAGGGCTTTGGGTGTAGGTTTTAGGGTTTAGGGTTTTAAGGGCTTAAGGGCTTAGGGTCTAGGTTTTAGGGTTTAGGGTTTCAGAGCTTAAGGGCTTCGGGTTTAGGGTTTAGGGTTTAAGGGCTTACGGGCTTTTGGTGTGGGTTTTAGTTGTGGATGCTGGCAGTTCACGAAGAGCAGTCTCGTCATTGCCTCTATGAATTTTCTGTCATGCAGGGCCGCTACGAATTTGATGCAGAGGACCTGCATGTATGCGCGAAACTTTGAATAGTGCATGTCATTGTTGTGGACTACTGTGACCTTTAGACCAGATAGCATCATGTTCTGTTGGCTGCGAGCGATACGAGTGACCTCGCCGTAGTTTGTCTGCCTTGCAGGAGAGCGAAGTCCTAAGCCCCTCAACCCTGACATCTTCTCATCTAAGTGTTTTGCAGGAATGGGGCAGCATCTCCGCCGAGGCAAAGAACCTCGTGGGCGCCCTGCCAGCAGCTAATGCAGCGACCTTTGATTTGTACTTAGAATAGGGTGTTGGGCTCCTTTATGGTAGAAAACCCTGAGGATCAAACCGCTAATTATTTAGGCCCCTATATCAAATAGTCTCACCTAACTCAGGGTAACCTCCATCTGTCGTGCTGATGTAGTTGGAGTCGAGGTGCACTCTACAGTCAGTGTCCTATACCAAGCCACCCTACACCCTAAACCCCAAATCCTATGCCCTAAGCCCTTTTGACGGAAAGCGGAGGCTCGCTGATGACGGTAGACTGCAAGAGCAGGCTCCGTGACAGCTTCATCCTTCCTTGGCGGATCAGTGGCGACAGGGGCCTGAGCAGTTTCCGATCCGATTGCGTAAAGTGTAGGGTGTAGGGAAAGTTGCCACTACTATTTTGCATAAGGGAACAATGTTGATACTACTTCTTCGGGTTCGTTCATATATGACTGTCTGCTGAGAGATACCCCACACTCCTATTCTGGTTAGGTCGTCAGTGTTGGGAGTTTAGGCCGCTTTGTTTAGAATGCCCCAGAAGACCACACAACAGATGACGGAGATAGTCTCTCACCCTTAAAGAACACCCTTATGCCTTTCTCTTTTCGGAGTCTCCCTATCAGAACCCTAAACCCTAAACCCTAAACCCTAATCACGACTGGGTTAAAGGACGATGGGCAGACTTTTGTTTACAAAGAAGGCCGGGGAACCGAGAGTTTCCCCCTTCCTTGGCCACTGTAGCAGGGGGTTTAGGGTTTAGGGTTTAGGGTTTAGGGCTTAGGGTTCGGGGTTTAGGGTTTAGGGCTTAGGGTTCGGGGTTCAGGGTTTAGGGTTCAGGGTTTAAATTTAGGGTTTAGGGTTTAGGGTGGGGTTTTCATCTTCGTTTTTGGAGGACGCCGCGGAAACCTTTAAACCGATAGGTTCCCACAGGGTCCCCTTCTCTTAGGGTTTAGGGTTACGGTTAGGGATGATGTCCGAGTGCGAACATGGCCAGAGGTTCTTCTCGTCGGGAACCGCAAACCCTAGCCCTAAACCCTAAACACTAAACAAGGCCTAGGCCTAAGCCCCAAACCCTGAACCCTAAACCTGAAACCCAACAGCCCAAACCCTGAAGGGGTTTGCGGTTCAGGGGTTTAGGGATAGGGCTTGGGGATTCAGGATTCAGGAACAGGGTTTAGGGGTTGAGGGTTTAAAAATTAAACAAGTTTAAAGTCTGCAGGCCCGGCATCGGCGCCGTGTTGGCCCATGAATGGCTGCACGAGCTTCACAACGGGGAAAAGGAACGATAGACAGATGGACGGATTGACGGACATTTGAAGATACAGACATCGCGAGATAGAGGGATAACATAGGCACCTGTATCCTCATGTTCCTGATTCTGGGCATCGGGCGATCTTGGGCTATTGCTGCACATGCCCAATAAGCCACACACAGCACAGGTCAGAACCAATCGACTGAGCTTGGTAGGATTTACAAACAACGTGAGGGCACGGGTTGGCTTGGGGGGTTTCATGCCCGAGCGTTCGACCCGACATGAGACAGCCTACACTCTGAACCCGAAATGCTAAACTCTGAAGCCTGAAGCTTTCGCCCCCAAGCCGTGAACTTTGGAAACCTACAACCTAAACCCTAAATCCATAGTCCCTCAGCCTCACAGTTACGCCTCGCATTCTGGATGTAAGCGTCGTGGCCAAGGCACTTGTCGCGGTCTTTTGGTGTTCAGGGCGCAATCCATCCGTAAGCCTAGGCAGAAGAACCAGAGGTTTTGACAATTATGGCTGGGGTTTTGGGGCCAGGGATTTCGGCTCAGGAGGTTCAGGGTTTGGGTCTCTGGTGGCCAAAAAAACCTGCAGCTATCCCGCCGAAACGAAAAAACTAGGCCTGTAGATGCGGTGTTTTCAGCTGAGGTTTGTTTTCGGAAACTTATGGTTGTACGATCAACCTGCGACGTGGTGCTGCTGCTACTGCTCAAACAGAGAGAGTCGTTTGTCTGAGAAACACGCGCTACAAAAGTAGACACAGCGGCGGAATCACAACCTGTTTATCCCCACAAGTATGAAGGCTTGATCTGGCACATCTGTTTCAACCCCCTGTCGACTCGACAGAAACGTTGCAGGGCACGACTTGCCTGTAGCATAGGAAAGGTAGGTTGTAAGGAATTGCGCATGGACTTGGCCGGCCGGCGACAAGATGCTTCAGAGCCGAGTTGTGACGCGGTGGCATTGATCAGGAAAGGTGAATGTACTTCGAGTCCCTGCATTCATTTCCAGCGCCGGTAGTGCTGCCTCGGGCAGCCATAGTCAGTCAGGTTGCGAGCGCATTCGTGGCACTTGCGACCACTGCAGCTGCAAAGGCCCGGCGACTGTAGTTGACACAAGACTGGCGCATCGTTTGTTACGACTTCGTGGTTCATGCGGGGCAATACGCTCGTGTCCGCCGGCGTCCCGGCTTCAGCCAGCAAACCCGACAGATCCCATGTACCGGCCATCCGCAAGATCGCATCCTAATCCCAAGTTGTCGAAGGAGGCCAACGTCCGCCTCCTGGTCGTGCGAGTCTCAGCCGTTCAGTGGCACGGCCAGGGCTGAGACGCCGTGGGTTTGTCTTGTCTCCTCAGGAGTCGTTCGGCTCCATCAACCCAAAGCTCATCAGAACACACAGCGACGAAAGCCCCTTGATCCAGCCAAGTCGAAGTTGCATGGACCGGCAGAACCTGATATACAAGCGAGGTGACCGTGGCCTCCCACTATGCACCGGCCTGCAGATCTGCAATGGCATCCCGGCTATGCTTCAGAAAGAGGAGAGAAGAGTAGAGCGTCTAAACAAAAACGCGCAGTCCCGCGGCCCTGCATCCTGTGTGATCCGCTTTTGGTAGACAAGATTTCGCCGATTTGAGCCTGCCAGGTCGGGATGCCTCCGATTGCTCAGCAGCGCCTGTGTCAAGAAGAGCTCTTTTTTGTGTTCCAGTTGCTGTAGTGTAGCGTTCAGGGATGTTCAGGGTTTTAGGGTTTGCGGTTTAAAGGCTGCCTGCCGCGTTGGGGCGTCTTGTCGTTCAACTTGGCATGTCCGGCTGCCAGTCTCCAAAGGCCAACAACGGCGACTGTGGCCAGAAATACTGCTGCAGCAAGGGTCACCCATGCTACCAATGCTTCTGAGCTGAGTTTGAAGTCTCTTCTTGCAGAGATGTGCCGCGACCGCAAAGTCTCGAGCCGCCGGATCCCAGGTGCTGGCGATGGATATGATTGCAAGAACAGCGGGGCCTGCAAGAACCCGAACGGTCATGGGATCTGAAGCGTAGTAGTGCCGTAGTGCACCCGTGCTGTCACCTGAATCGCTAGCCTGCCCAAAGCATTGCGGCAGTAGCATCAAAACTTTCTTTGGATGCTGTGGTGACCGCTGCGGTCAAAATGTTGTCATCCGCTCCTGCTTGTCTTGCTTTAGTCCTGCGCACGTGCGGCAGTGCGGCCTCGTAGAACCGGAAACATTTCGGGAAGCTTTTTTGGACTCTAGACTCCGATCATTCTCTGCACTGCTCTCTTCTATTCCATGCGTTTGAGAGCTCCCGCGTGTGGCAGCGCTGCAGCTTGTTGCTGTGATTTGGAGAGAGGTTGTTGGTTGAGCTGTGCAACACTGCCGGATGCCCAGCCGCGCAGCCACCTAAGGACCTAGCATGCTGGCAAAGACATACTTTCGCACTTCGCTTTTGAGAGTCGTCAAGGCAGGTGCTGCCTGTGGCCTATCATTGCAGCTTTTGCGAGCAAGTGATTGGCACAAGCAGCTAGATGCGGTTCCTGGAAGCTTAGAGCCTTCAAGTCCACTGAACCCTAAACCTTAAAGTCCCAAGCCCAACGCTGCAAAGCTCTAAAAGCTGGAAACCAAAACCCTGAAGGGCTTGCAGCCCTCCTGCCATCTGTGGCGGCGGCATGGCACGCGATGACGGCTGTTTGGCAGCGGCATGCCAAGCCGTGACGGCCTTGGATGTAGTTGTAAGCCCATGGACACGGGTATGTATGTTGCTCAAGACCTGAGCATGTGTGCGAACCCTTCTCTCCAACAGGACACGCCATGCAAGAATGCCACTCAAGTAGGTGCAGATCGGTATGGACAGCTCTCGCGTCATTGCTACCGATAGCCGACAGCCAAGTGTAACTGATGCAGTGCATGCCGGCTTTCTGCCGGCTAACTCACTGACCGGAAACTTGTTAATTGAAGACTATCCTAAACTTGAGCTTCAGCAGATCCCGGCGGACTCAAACGGGGTTCCTCTGTCCGAGTGTCTCTTCGCGTGTTTTTCCTGATGCGTGCAGATTGCTTTCGCCCTGCATGTAGCCAGGCGAGCCAAAGTTTCTGCAGTTCTCATCGTACTGGGATTGTGGAGTAGAGTGAGAAGGACGCAGGAGCGGGAGAAGGAGCAGGAACAGCGGCAGCAGCAGCAGCAGCAGCAGCAGCAGCAGCAGCGTGCGTAGGTATCGTGGTAGTCTGCTTGCAATAGTAATGCTTCTAGGCACAGCTGCACTCCAACTTTTTGCACAAGTGAGCTCCTTTTTGGTCTTGCACTCCAGCTGAGGACTACGAGGAAATGGCTCGGCTGCTTGCGTGGGGCCCTTGGTATTGAGTGGTTGTATAGGGCTTTTGGCAGATGTGTAGGATTTTAGAAGTTTTGCAGGGGCTCAGCAGTCTCTCCAACAACAAGTCTTTGGTCTTCGGGAAGAGGGCTCTTGGGTGAGTGTTTTAGTATAAGTCTGTAGGCTATTCGGCGATACCATGGGTCACTGAGACTCCATCTGTGAAGGCTGGCGGGCTATACTCTGCAAAGAGGGAAAGCAAGGCATCACAATCGCTCCCTGATGGACCGGCTGGCCCCTGCCTTTATTGGGCTGAGTTTCGGGCAAGGCACCCCCTTAACTACAAAGACCTACAGAACTCTTACAGAAGCACCTCCTTGATTCTTCGAGGACTTGCCACCGGAGCCGCGTCCGCAAAGAACTTCTTCGCTGGCTGGAAAGACGCCAGGCCGGGGTCCCGGAGATCGAAGCTACAGGTGAGGTTAACTATGGGGGCCTTCGTATTTAAGATATTTAAATAGGGCTTTGGGGTAGAGTATCGTAGATCTACAAAATAGGGTTTTGGGGTAGAATATAGTATAACGATGAGTCACGGAACCTCAAAAGTGAAGCTAAAAGTTGGGTTCATGGGGTTGCTACAGGGCTTCAAGGGTCCGAATATGGAGTCCCGGACATCACAGCCGCCTGCAGAGGTTCGGGGTTTAGGTTTCCTAGAAGGGTTCCTCTAAGGAGCTTCCGAAAGGGTTGTTACTGGGCTTTTTGGGGCTTTAACCTTGTGTAGTTTGCGGGGGCCATCATGTTGAGGGGTTAATTCTTTCCATGAGGCTTTATGGCTTCCGGTTTCTCTGGGGTTTAGGGTTTAGGGTTTAGGGTTTAGGGTTTAGGAACAGGATTTTGGAGCACAGTCTAGTATGCTTAATCGTACTATCGGTAAGTATGTGTGCTTCTCTGTTCGGGTCTTTGGACTAGGTTTCAGCGTCTTGGGCGTTTGGGGTTTAGGGCTCTAGAGGCTGGGGCTTTAGGAGTATTCTTGTGGGGTTTCACAGGGTTGAAGGAAAGTTTCCTAGCTGTGACTCACTTGCTGCGTTTCTAGAAGCTTGTTCATGAGGGTGTTTACCTATAGGGGTTTCATAAGGATTCTAGAAGGGCTGTATCGGGTTTCATACGGTGTTTCAGGTTTGGGGCTTAACGTAGACAAGTGCTTGATGAACCTCGGGCCTGAAAATGAGGACCCCTATGCCCTCTATTGTCATGCTTGTTAAGAGAGCTGGCTTTAGGAATCAGAGGCCGACATCGGCACGAGCAAGATGAGAGAACTTTCGGCATTTGCATGTAGGATCGGTAGCGAAAGCTTGGCTTGTCACAAGCAGCTAAGCTAAGCAGAATCAGATAGCGACGACATGCCAAAGGCAAGATAGAAGACGGGCAGTAGGTTGAGACTAGCTTGGACGCAACTCAGGACGCCGCTGAGATGGCATCTCTCTTGTCGTCATGAGCTCGGCCCCTTCTGCTGCACGCTTGCTGCATCGGCGCATGCAGGCTTCGCATGTGCTTCAGGCAGGCGTGTAGCCGGAAGGTGTTAGATGGGGGTAACTGGAATACAATGATGCCTATGTGGGCCCCAATGTTAACCTCGAGTTCCCTTTGGATACTGGCCACCCCTAAACCCTCTGAACCATCAAAGAACCTAAAACCCGGAAACCCTCACCCCAGAAGCCTCAAAGAACATCGCCCCAAACCCTGAACCGCTAAACCCTAAACTAGCCCCCTAAACCGCTACACCCCTGAACCCCAACACCCCAAACCCCTAAAGCCTTCAAAGAAACCTTATAGCCCTAAACCCTCCAAGAGCCCAGAACTCCAAAACCTGAGTCCCTCAATTACAGTTTAAATGCCTACACCCCAAACCCTCAAAGGTCGTTGGAGAGCCCTACAAGAATCCGAAGGCCCTAGCAGAACCCTAAAGCCCACACCTTAAAACCCACAAAGAACCCCAAAACCCTCCCTCAAAGAGTCCCAAAGAACCCGAAAACCCGAAACCCCCGCAAAGAACCCTAAAACCCTTAAAGCCCCTAAAATCCTCAAAGAGAGCCCCAAAACGCCCCAAAGCCTCAAAGGTCGAGCAAAAGCGAGCGCCTGCTTTCGGAGCTTCGGCTCTGGCTTCTGGAAGCCTGGGCCCTGCAACCGATGGCTTTAGGGTTTGGGGGTTGGGGG